ATATTAAAATATAGAATTATCACATAATTTTTGTATAAATAAACCCTAAACCTATTTTTGATTGCTGTTAAAAATGAAAATGTAATTTCCACTAATTTTAAATGTCATGTGGTCCACATGCTTTAATAAATACATTTAAACTATTAAGGAGATAATCCTAAGGAGATTGCATATTTTCTATAAGATTTTAATGGACTTAGGATGAGTAGATAATCATTAAGTCATTATTGGTGTGAGATTTAATCTTAAATGAATTTATGAAAAAAATTAAATTTTAAATAATCTATACCTAATAGGGATCAACCATGTTACATTTTTAGAAAATTTTGCCTCAACATAATATCACGTGAGATTTCATTATCGAACTATTTAAAAAATAGTCAATTTTTGTGAGATTTCATTATCGAACTATTTAAAAAATCGTCAATTTTTGTATTCAATTATCTCTCGTCAATTAGGTAGACAAATCCTTTTGTTAAAGAGGCTTAATTACGCAGTGATATCAAACATGTTTAGGGGGAAAAAGTTTACCTCGCGCGATCATTATTTCGCGAAACTTTATTTCCTATGCGGGCGACCTCACAGTAGCCTCCGTGCACCATTCTTCTTCTTGCCAATAATATTCGACAGTTAGATCCTATCAGCAAAACCTGAAGCCATTCACTCTCCTTTTCATTTTTTCTCTTTTATCTTATAAATTAATGGCTTTCCACGTTTATAATTATCCTCTCCTTAACTCACCGCTCTCTTCCGCCTCACTATACCCTCCCCAACACCTTCCCACTCCCAATCCCCTACTCTGCTGTAATAATAACAATTCCAAGGTAGATATACATCGCTGACAACTGTATTTGAAATTAAAACCCTGATTTTATGTTTATTTGATGTGTTTTAATGAATGTGATAGATTTTGGGTGTGAATAATGGGAAACGAAGATGTATTTCTACGAGAGTCCAAACGACGGAGAGGAGAGCCATGCCCGAAGACAAAATGTTGGTCAGTAATTGATAACTGAAATGAATGTTATTTATTGGTTGAGGTAATGACGATATCATTGGATTGATTTTATTTTTTATTTTTTAGGTGTTTGTGCCACCGCATCCTTTGATAAAGCACTGGATATCAGTTCTTCGTAATGAGCAGACACCTTGTCCAATTTTCAGTAAGTATAACTTCAGCTAAGAATGAAAATAGTCCTGCCTCGGTTGTTTGCTGAGTTTTCTAGGATAGCCAATCACTTCGAATCTATTCAAAATGCTGCAAATTTGTTTTACTGTACAATATGGTGCTAATGATGAGCAACAAGGTTGCTACTAGCAAGTATAGGCTGAAAGTTGCAGAAAATGCAGTTATTGACTAATTTGATGGAAGTCATCGCTTTTGTACATAATGATAGTGATAAACACTAGCAAACAAGTTAAAGTGGGTTGAGATGGGCTTGGAAACGCATTTTTAAATCATGTCAATTGAGTGCAAGAGGTATAATTTTATAATCTTCCTTTGTCCAGCTCATATTTTTTTGTATTTATGCGCAAATAACTCCATTGTAATATCCATAGAGAGTGCCATGGCTGAGCTGGGGAGATTGCTTATGTATGAGGCCTCAAGAGATTGGCTGGTGAGCTGCGACTATTTGGATATTCTCTTTTATTTTTATTTTCTTATATATGATTATCTCTGCTATGGATGCTATCAAATATAATACTTTTGAACAATATTGAATTTGAGGAATATTTTAAATGACATGACCAGTGTTTCTGGTCGTCAAAATCCCTGTTCGGTTTTGATAAAAAACAGATATTTAGTAGATTTTGATTTGATAAATGTGGTTGAAAAGCTAATAAAAGCAGTGGGTCTCATGAAATATGTGGTTAAAATGAGTTTGAGAAAAAATGAGTTTTAAAAAATGGGGGCTATTCATTTTCAACCATACATTCTTCAATAAAATAATATTTTTCATCATATCAATAATTTTTCCTTATTTTTCAACCACATATTTTCCATCACATCATTTCAAAAAAATGCATTCTCTCATATTAATATGCACCAAACACACTATTAGTAACATTTTTTCAGATTTCCACGGTGATAGACNAGTTTGAAGGATAACTTTAATTGGACTAAAGTGAATTTAGCTCAGCCACATTCTTATTTTCATTTTCATTATTTTACTCATTTTCAACCACACATTTTTCAATAAAATAATATTTTTCATCATATCAATAATTTTTCCTTATTTTTCAACCACACATTCTCCATCAATCTACTATTCCAAAATACATTCTTCCAAAATAATGTGACTCAAACACACCATAAGAAAGACAAATTGAATCATTACTTGCAACTAGTCTCCCTTTTTTCTTCTTCAAGTTTATAGTAGTTGTAGATGATAGAGTATAATTTTTTGTTTAAAGAA